AGTACAACAGTCAAAAAAGTGAAGTACACTTGAACCTCCACAAGTCCATGAGTATCTTCTTTGAAGTCCCTGTGTGAATTAATGTTGAGAAATAATTATTGTATTAAAATTCTCCCTGAATCAAAGCCTTTCCTCCTCAAAACTTCAAAAAATTTAGGGGGCCATTTTCGCTATTAATTTATTGATACAGGAAATAGAAATGCAATGAAAAATGGAACCTGATGTGCTTTGAAAGGAAATGAAGGACTATTATTGGGTAACTCAACAGTTGCATTTTCAAGTTCAGCATCCTGTCAACTCATTTAACCCGTGTGCTGCAAAGCCAGGATATTTTTGGCAAAATTTTGTGTCACCAAACAGCTTGAAAATCCCACTTTTTTTTTCAAGCCTAAGTTGAGAATTATTCCAATATTGTTTTCAAATCTTACAGTCAATTTTGAATGAAAAAAATCCCTCACTGGGTGGTTTTTTCCTGGCATAGGATCAGCATGGAAGATTCCTGAAAACAATAGAAAATTTGCCCCCCAGATTTTCCAGCCTTCCCAACCTGGTTACATTTCAGTGACCTTGGGTCAAACTGAAATGCGTGCCCCCCAAAAATATTGAAACTTTACTGTGCAAATGAAAATAACCATCTGCTGTCCAAAGGTTGAAAAGGAATTGATTGCCCAGAATGTCTCCAATCACAAAATTCTGTAATTATTCTTTCTTACCCCGAACAAAAATGCCTATCCCTAATTAAATGGTCTGTTAAAGTTTGACTTGAAGAGGTTTGACTGTATATAAATTTACCGCATTTACTCAAGTAATATAAGACACACATCAGGGTTTCTCAGCCAAGAATTTAATAAAGTTGTATTATCATGAATTAAGATGCTCACCTCATTTTTATTCAATTTAACACTGCAAGATTTCAAAAACAAGAATACACAAATTTGAATTTCGGCCTGAATTCAAGTAATTTTCATTTTTTTTGGAGATTGGTCCAAAGTTCCTCATTATCAAATCAAAAATGAAGCAAATATATAAATAACTTCTGAAACTTTTTGGAAAGTGCATATAATGTACATCCACTTTTGAGTTTTCACATACTCACACCGTCTTCCTCTGTATTATTAAAAAAAAGTGGCACTGATGGTGGTATATAATCAAGTGAAAATGTTAATAATGCTGGAACACATCTTGAAGTTTTTATTTTACTTTATTTGCTTCAAGCGTTATTATGGGAAGAATAAGGATATGTGATGCGTATTTGAACATGTGATAGGAAATTAATCCATTGTACAGTGCTGTCGACGTGTGTACAATACTTTATATGGAAATTGAAAAAAAAATGTATCTTTTTTTGTCCTATAGGGGGTTTCTTTTGAATTTCTTTTCGGAAATTGTGAAGTCAGTCGTTGGATGTTGACGCACGCACAGGCGCATGCATGCAATACAGTATATGTCGTATCACGCCACGTTTTTTCCCTGCAGCAACAGCCAATAACCGGCTTTTCTGTCGTGAACGTGTCTGAAATGTGTCCCTCCCTCCCTTTCCGTGTCTGTCTCTGCTCCTTTCTTCCTTCTTTTCTCTGTCTCTATGTCTCCCCCCCCCC